CGTAACTACGCCACTGGTGCGTTATGCGCCTTTGCGCATTTGAAACAAAATTTAGCATTGCATTTTTTACTCTCGTGTTGGCGTAGACAAATCTTACATAACTTCAACTGACCGTTACACGTTTTATTCGCTCTGGTACGGTCAAACTATACAATTTAGGACATTTATAAATCGTATGTGCTGATTTACAAACATAGCATTCTAAATTTGACGTCGACGCAAATAATTGTGATGCTCCTATTTTTTCAAAATATATTTATCGTTTGATGTCATAATTGCACTACCTTTAATATTTATATTTTTTACGGTTTCAATTGATTCTAAAATTTTATACCTTGGCTTTAAAAATGTAATTAATTCTGCAACCTTTGGCACTTCAGTACATTGCGCTCTCGATTCCCCACTCTTTTAATGTAGTTTTATCTAATTTAATTGATATTAAGTGTATTAGTAGTGGTCCCCAATTTGTGGGTTCTTGACCTAGCGCCTCTAACGCACGCATATGTCCATTCGGTGCATCCGTGAACTGTCTTAATTTTTTCGCCGACTCACCGCCCACCGTTTCGAGATCATATATTGCTTTTACATGTGCTTGAACCAACACCTTTTTATTATTGTAACGCGTGATTAATGATTGCTATGCTATGGTATAATTATTAGATGTTGTTTCTAAACATTTAATAGAGCTTAATGCCTCACCAGATAATGATTCGCGATGCAAGAAAAAATTAATTACCCTGGCTCAAAAACATCAGTAAAACGTATTTTACACAATTTGAACTTCCAGTACAAGAAGTGTAATGATGGGCGTAGGTTTCTGATGAAGAGAAATGATATCGTTGCTTGCCGKGTAAAATTTTTAAGAAAAATGTACGAATTGAGACAGAATAATGACACAAGGCCGGTAGTTTACCTGGATGAAACGTGGGTAAACTAGAATCATACGCAAGGTTACATATGGCAAAATCCAAAAAACACCGAATGACTCAAAGTACCAATTGGAAAGGGTGCTCGACTCATTGTATGCCACGCTGGTTCACCTTCATTTGGATTTGTGAACAATTCGAAATTRGTCTTTCGATGTAAATCGGGTAGTACGGAAGACTACCATTCGCAAATGAAMGCGGACATTTTTGAAAAATGGTTTGTTGAAATGTTGGCCAATTTAGAAGAACCATGTGTTGTGGTAATGGACAATGCTTCCTGCCATTCTGTTTTAGTCGAAGATTACCCAAGGGCAAACGCGCGAAAGGCAGACGTCCAAAAATGGCTTGAAAAAAAATGTATTCCATATTCATCGGTAGAAACATTGTGTGAACTTCGAGAAAAAGTTAAAATGGCCATACCTAAAGAAAAAAAATATAAACTTGATGAAATCGCATTACAAATTGGTCATGAAGTGATAAGACTCCCACCTTACCACTKTCAGTACAACCCAATTGAGTTGATTTGGGCRCAAGTCAAGGGTGAAGTCGCCAAAAAAAACAGCACCTTCAAAATGACAGATGTCGAAGTGTTGGTAAATAATGCCTTAGATGAGATCACTAAAGAGGCTTGGATAAAATGTGGCGCACATTGCAATRAACTCCAAGATGCAGATTACATAAAGGAAGGGTTAAGGGATGAAATATTAGAGCCCATMATACTTACAATAAATCCCGATGACAGTTCGACTGATGAAGACGAAATCGACGAAGACGAATAAATTACGTAATTAATTTTTATTACTACGGTGACTTTGTAACTATKTGTAAATATATATTTTTATTATTATATTTGACTTTTCTTATTATAAAAAGAGTAAAAAAAACAAAAAATATGATAATAGTCTTATGTTTACTTTATTATTATATTTTTTTTTTCGATTATACCGTATGTTCAGCAATTTAGGTAACACTAAATTTCTCGGCCGGAGACTGTTGGAATAAATCGATTTTTTTTACAAGCTAATAGTATATAAATACACATTTTCAAATTAATTTTTAATTTTTAACTATGATACGTGCATGCGCAACGCAACTTATTTTTTTTTAATAGCAACTGGTATTCGGATAGACTGAATTTTTTTAAGTCATTTTGACCACTTAACCATGTCTTTAAAACCAAAATTGGCTGAATGAGAGCCATTCAAATTTTAATAAATAATACATTTTTAAAATTCATTATAATATGCATAAAACCATTTATAATTATTTATTATTGGTTACTTTTTGAATATTTTTACGTATACAGTTGTAATCAATTTTAATCAAATAATTTTATATCCATATTATGTTAAAATTATAACACGTATAAAAGAAATATTCAAAAAGTAAGCAATAATAAATAATTGTAAATGATTTTATGCATTTTATAATACATTGTAAATAAGTATTATTTATTAAAATTTGAATGGCTCTCATTCCGTTAATTTTGGTTTTAGAGCCATGGTCAAAAATACCAGTTTCTATTAAAAAATAAGGAGTTGCTTTGCGCATGCATGTACTGAGAGGCTTAAAAATTTGAAATTTATCTGAAAATGTGTATTTATACATATACCACTTGCTTGTAAAAAAATGTCGATTTATTCCAACATAATCCGGCCGAGAAATTCAGTGTTCCCTAAATTGGTKAACACACGGTTACACGATTTGAAATTATATTAGGCGGTAAAACGTTTGAAGACCCATACCGTAAAACAGTCGGTAGGCGCGTGACGATCGCGGCCTACTTTYCGTGGACCGCACTATAGGATTAAATTTAGGAATAAAATGGGAACGCTGGTATATTTCTACTTTACGGGGCACCTTTTTTTTCATAATTTTCATTATTGAAACATATGTAGTTAAGTACACTAAAAACGATGGTGAAGTCAGCATTTGACGCTCGGACATAGTTACGAAGTTATGACACTCCGAAATTAGTAGATATTATGTTAAATAACTTTAAAAATTACTCATTTTGACAGGAAGTCGTAGTCAGCTCAAATAAATTATACGTTGTCATGGTATATGTTCCGAGTTCGATACCGGTGTCAGGAAATTTTTTTTGCACTTTTCCCATTATATTATTACTGTACCTAATAAAATTATATTCTGTGCTAATAATTAATAAATGTCATTATAGTTTATTATATTATTTATTTATTATTATTATTATTATAATCATAGCCCGTGACCTAAACTTATCTTATCACTAAATCTAAATGACACTAGAGTACTATCATAGAATACTATAGAAACGATACTCCCCCCACCACTTCACTTTTTTTCATTTTGGCAGCGGACTGATTGATGTTGTAAGCATAGCGGGTGAACATGAAGTTATAAACAGTCGGTTGCTCTATTATCACTGCAAACTGCGGATAGCACTTATCACTTGCATGATATTACTCGCTATTCGTTGAATTGTTTTGAGCCTATTACATTTTKAAATTCGAATTATTCGATATTAAGTTTGTTTTTTATTGTAATTGTAAKTTGTAATTTGTATTGAGTATTTTGATTTCAACTGACTTGTACTTGAAATGCCTAGCTTGTGTTGTTTCTGTACAAAAACACAAGGGAACCTTTATCATGCTGTATCTTTCCATCGATTTCCCAAAGATCCAATTCAGTAAGTATATACTTAAAGTTTATTTTTTCAACCATTTAGAATGATAAATATTGTATTGTACTTTCTTTTCTTGATATCCCATTAAATAGACAAACTAAAGTTATTCAAATTATTTTGAATGGCGGGAAATTATATGAAAGGTTTGATAATATTCTATGATTGATGTTGTGAACACAGTGGGAGAACATGAAGTTATGCACCTTATCAAGTTGATTCAGGCAGAACAAAGGATCTTGGGAGAGTGTCGTTTCTATAGTATTCTATGGTACTATACTATATCAACCACAAATAAATAAACTATAAATAAATAATAATAATAATAAATAAAATTAATAATAATAATAAATAAATAATATAATAAACTATAATGACATTAATTAATTATTAGCCCATATAATATATTATTATTTATATCACAAATCATAATAATAACTTTGGATTGGTGGCGGTGATTAGCTGTCTGTCTAACACACGCGCAACATATTATTATGAATTTAGACATGTTTTTTGTACAACGTACCGATTTATACTGTTATGCGATAATAACTCTGAAAACATATTTGAATTTTTCGTCAAGTCTACTTGAGATCGTCTAGTCCACTTTTCCCAATTTTACGCCCCAACTCCTGTGAATTTGGTTTCAATATTTTAAAATTTAGGAATTTTCCAACGTTAATTATTTACAATTAAAATCAGAAACCTTAAAATGTGGACTGGCCAATATATAATATTATATTATTGGCTAACTTATTGTCTACTATTGGCTACTTACGAAAATAATACTGAATATATTGCCACATTTAAAGAAAACAAAATGTTATAGATACATAAAGTTAAAAAACACAAAGTAAAATACTGTTTTAAAATCAATCAATGTAGGAAAATTACAAGGTTAGGTTATTAGGTACATAAATGTTATGTGGGTCACATATTATACAACTATATAAAATAAAATTGCCTAATAATCTTTATCATAATAATAATAAAATATGCACCGATATTGTATCGTTATTTCATATAATGTGCACCAACACAAAATTGTTTTGAGATAGACAAGGATTAAGTCTTAATTCTATTCATACCCGTCATTGTGCACCTTTTTGAAAAAAAAAAATTTATAACAGTTTTGCACCTATGACTGAATGCGCTAGTATTATATTTATTTTATTTTCGCAAAAGGTAAATAATATAATACGGACAATAGCGATATTTAGCTTATAGAAATACATCCATACACACAAAATATGATACAAACAAAATTCAGACATTTTAACATATCATGAATTATAATTTATATTATTAGGTATATATTATATTATAAATTGTAATATTTTTATATAGTTTTTCGGAGTGGATGTTATTTATAGTTTTATTAGTCTGTCCTGGAAGTGAGTTAAATTTAAATATGTTCAATATATTATCATTTATCATTATATAATAATATTATAATTTATAATAATCCAACTGCAGACAACTATTATATGGTATACCGTATACGAGGGTGTAACTACCTATATATACGACCACAGAATAATGGATTGCATCGATTAGACTTAGATTTAATCTATTTTGTAATACGACCACGTGCATAATAAGTAATCATACATACCTAACATATTATATTATATTAAAAGTTTCCTCTACCATTTTTTTTTATTTATGTATTTGTCAGTCGGGTTTTTACTTAGGTACCGGACCGTTTCTTCATCAAACGTTTTGGTTTAGGCCACGATTTAAGATATACAGGTTGCACAACGAAGACAAATATTKTGACTCAAGAATTGACACTTCAAAAAAATTAACTCTCAACGCTCCTTGCGGGGAAAATTGTATTTCAGTGTCGCCACATGTAGGGAAAATTTTTATTATTATCTAAGGAAATTAGTTTTATTTTAAATTATTATATAAGATTATGTCTTTTACTTATTRTTATACATAAAATAAAGTATTCAAGTCCAAGTTCAAGTATAATAATAGAATAAATAGTATAAAATCAGAAGCTGTATTCGTGCAACACTGTCGCTGCGCCGACGTACGTCACGGCGAGTGTCGAACATCCGCGATGTCCGACCTCGCCCCCCACCCTTCTCGCGATTGTGGTACGCCACCAGCCGCGGGTCATCTCCATCAATGGTCAACCAGTTCAGGTTCTGACTTCCGTCTCTACACACGTACGCTCTGTTGTCGATTGGCCATCTTGTTTTGTTTTGCGGATTGTTCGCCTGTTGGATTTTGAGCGTCCGCTATCCGTGGCTCATCGCGTCGACAAACTAGAAAAACGCCACTCGTCCGTTGTACCAATCCGTGACAGCTTGTGCCGTCGTGCCGTTTTTTGGTGTTCGTGTCTGACCACGTTTTGTTACTGCACCCTCCGTCGCGCCACCCCGAAGTTATTCGGCTATTGCGTTTTCGCATTTCCTGCCTTAGTGCTGCTGCTGTGGTTGAGCGCAGCCTAGTCGCTAATCCCCCGTGATTCGCGACCGTTCGGGATAGAACCACGTGGTGTCCCATTGTGGATATCGTTTGTACGCTTGTACGCTGTTACGGAGCGTCGTACTAGTCAGGGGTACCAACACCCTGCTCCCGGCGATACGCCGGTTGGTGATATCAGGGGGTGGACACTTTTGGGCGGCAGGCCGATAACAGATAATCATTCGCCATTTTATTTGAGGTTATTTTTATCAGTTTTAATTCGAGATAAGAAATGTATTCCAAACAACATTACTGTTTACAAAATACAAATTTCTCTTAACGGAAATCTGCATATTTTACTTTTTGTGTTTTCGTATTTTTTATACTTAATTGTGTTTACCGTTTACATTGTACGTTCTGTGTTTAAAATGGTGTTCGTTTGTATTGTAAAAGTGTGTAGGAATTCAAAAGTCAGTACCAAAGTGAAGGGTTGTAAGCTATTCAGTATCCCTGATCAGATCTGTGTGTTAAACCGATAAATATTCTGAACAAGAACTATCGTGTTTGTAATGATCATTTTGAAAATACAATGTTTTCAAATGCTGAAAGGACAAGACTTTTGCCTACTGCTATGCCTACAGAATTTGGTAGCTACATTGAAACAACTGCGCAAGATAGTGCAAACCAGACTATTGCCGATGATTCATTAACTGATGAAATCATTGTTACAAGCACACCGTTAAAACAAGATCAATCAGTGTCTGTTGCCAGTAAGTAATTTTGATAGATTAAGGAATTATTAAATTAATTACATTTAAATGAAATTAAATTGTTAATATAAGTATGGATCTCAATTTAGTAATTAATTTTATGTTTGTAATAGGCAACGCGTTGTCGCCGTGTTCATTGTTTGAATCATCTTCATCATCAACTGCAACACAAACTACTCAAGTTCTTTCTGTAAATACACCAAGAAAACRAAAGTTTAGAGTTGAAGTTCGAGAACTAAGGACAAAATGCGACAAACTGGAGCAAAAGGTTGAACATTTGTCTCAAGAATTAGTTTTCCTGCAATGAATGCACTTGCATATGTGTGTGGATATTTAATAAAAAAATGCATTGAAAAACATTCCTGTGATTTATGTCTAAAGTATGCTAAGCATCAAGATCAATTAGATCAATCATTTATATTTATATTCATTATTCTTAGGCATACCAAAATACAGAAAATTCAACCTATGGAAATTTAAATGTACCTCCCGATCAGTTTATTAATTATATTAACATGTTTATCACAATTCCCCGTACTTACTAGGTCTATGATTGATGTTAAGGTGTGATCACATCCCCCTACTACATATTTGTTGTTAACTGATTTATTCGTGTACAATTAGGTACATTTTGATATAGGTATTAATATAATTTAATAATATTATACAATATTAATTATATATCCACGCTATAATAACATTTTACTTTTATAATATATAAAATAAATAATAATAAAATAATATTATTGATTATAATAGGTTTGAATTATAAAAATAAAAACTTCCTTCACATAGATATATATAATGGAGGGATCCAGATAGGGTCTAAAAAAATTTTCTCGCTTCGCTCGAACTATGACTTTTATTTATCTTTTT